TCAAGAGATTGAGACCATCCTGGCCAATGTGGTGAAACCCTGTGTCTAATAAAAATACAAAAATTACCTGGGCATGGTGGCACGTGCCAGTAATCCCAGCTATTTGGGAGTCTGAGGCAGGATAATTGCTTGCACCAGGGAGTCGATGGTTGCAGTGAGCTGAGATTGCACCACTGCACTTCAGCCTGGCGACAGAGTAAGACTCTGTCTCAAAAAAAAAAAAAAAAAAAAAAAGAAAAAAAAAAAAAAAAAAAAAAAAAAAAATCTGCATGGCTCAGATGTTGGAACCCTAGTCCCTGTGTTGGTTTACAATTGGGATTTGCCGATCCATGGGTTGCACAGTTTTATGGAAAAAGCATGGTTTCCCCAGATGGGTAACACGCTCACTCCCCAACTTCCTTTGGCCAACTGATTTTCAATGAAGGCACCAAAAACATTCCATGGGTAAAGTGTATCATCTTCAATAAATGGTACTGGGAAAACTGGATATCCATATACAGAAGAATGAAACTAGACTCCTATCTCTCACCACATACAAAAATCAAATAGAAGTGCATTTTAGACTTAAATGTAAGATCTGAAACTACTAAAAGTTGGAGAAATGCTTGAAGGCATTGATCTGGTCAAAGATTTTATCAATAAAACTTTGAAAGTAAAAACAGACAAACAGGATTACAACAAAGAAATAAAAGGCAAAAAATAAAAATAAAAAAGACAGAAGTGAAATTGTCTCTGTTTGCTCAAAACCTTATCCTATAAATAGAAAACCTGACAGATTCCACCAAAAAAACTGTTAGAGTTGATAAACAAATTCAGTAAATTTACAGTACACAAAATCAACATACAAATTTCAGTTGTGTTTCTATATACTACAAAGAAAGAAAGAAATTAAGAAAGCAATCCCATTTACAATAGCATCACAAAAATTTACACAGAATTAAAGTTCACTAAGGATGTGAAAGATCTGTATCCTGAAAACTACAAAACAAAGATAACAGAAACAGAAGAAAACAAATGGAAAGATATTTTGTGTTTGTGCATTGAAAAAATATTGTTAAAATGTCCATACTACCTAAAGTGACCTACACATTCAATACAGCCCCTATGAAAATTCCAATGTTATATTTCACAAAAACAGAAAAAGTGTTTCCTAAAGTTCATTTGGAACCACAAAAAATTCCAAATAGCCAAACAGTCTTGAGAAAAAAGAACAAAGCTGGAGGCCTCAAACTACCAAATTTCAAGATATATTACAAAGCCACCGAAATCAAAACTGCATGGCAACAGCATAAATAGAGACACATTAGACAATAGAACAGGATAGAGTGCCCAGAAATAAACTCGTGTTTATTCATGGTCAAACCATGGTCAATTGGTTTGACAAAGTTGCTAAGAAGACATAATAAAGGACAGTGTCTTCAGAAAATGATATTGGAACAACTGAGTATTCACATGCAGATGAATAAAATTAGGCCCATATCATACATAAAAATCAGCTCAAAATGGATTAAAGACTTAAATGTAAGACCTGAAAATATTAAACTACTAGAAGAAAACAGGGTAAAAACTCCATGACACTGATCTGGGTAGTAATTTCTTGTCAAAAGCACAGGCAACAAAAGCAGAAATAAATGAGTAGGACTGCATCAACTAATAAGCCACTGCAGAGCAAGGAAAATAATTAACAGAGTGAAGAGACAATTCCATGGATTGGGAGAAAATATTTGCAAACCATACATCTGATGAGGCTAATATCCAAAGCATAAGAAACTCAAACTGTAAGAAAATAATCCAATTACCAAAAATAGGTGGAAGATCTCAATAGATACTTCTCAAAAGAAGACACAGATAGACAACAGGTATATGAAAAGGTGCTCAACATCACTAATCATCAGGGCAATTTAAATGAAAACCACAATGAGATATTACCTCACACCTATTAGAATGGCTACTCTGAAAAAAAAAAAAAGATAATAAGTGTTAGTGAGAATGTAGAATAAAGGGAATTCTTTGACACTGTTGACAGAAATGTAAATTAATACAGCTGTTATGGAAAACAGTATAGATGTTCCTCAAAAAACTAAAAATAGAATTCCCATATGATCCAGCAATCCTACTTCTGGATATATATCCCAAAATTTGAAATCAATATGTCAAATGAGTATCTGTACTCCCATGTTCATTGCAGCATTATTCACAGTAGCCAAGGTAGGCAGCAACCTAAGTGTTACTGTCAATGGACTAATGAATAAAGAAAACATGGCACATATGCAAGATGGAATTCTATGTAGCACTAAGAAAGGAAAATTCTATCATTTTTGACAATACCGCGTGAAAGTCATTATGTTAAGTGATTTAAGCCAGGCACAGATAGATACTGTGTGATCTCACTTACATGTACAAACTAAAAAAATTGACCTCAAAGTAGAGAGTGGTATGGTGGTTACCAGTAAAAGGGGTTTGGGAAAGGTGAACAGTGAGATATTGGTCAAAGGATACAAAGTTTCAGTTAGATTAAGGCAGCAAATTAACAAAGATATAAAGGGAACAAACTTAACAGGACCAAATGGACCTAATCAATATCTACAGAATTCCTCACTCCAAAACAACAGGACATACATTCTTCTCATTGCCACATGGCACATATTCTAAAACTGACCATACTATCAGACAAAACAATCCTCAGCAAATTAAAAAAAAAACAAAAAAACATACCAAGAACAATCTCAGACCACAGCACAATAAAAACAGAAATGAATACTGAGAAAATCACTTAAAACCATCCAGTTAGAGAGAAATTAAACAACCTGCTCCTGAATGACTTCTAGGTAAACAATGAAATTCAGGAAGAAAGCAAGAAATTTTTTGACATTAATGAGAACATGATAATTATATACCAGAATCTCTGGGACACAGCTAAGGTAGTGTTAAAAGGGAAATTTAGGCCAGGTGTGGTTACTCATGCCTATAATCCCAGCATTTTCGGAGGCCAAGGCAGGTGGATCACGAGGTCAAGAGATTGAGACCATCCTGGCCAATGTGGTGAAACCCTGTGTCTAATAAAAATACAAAAATTACCTGGGCATGGTGGCACGTGCCAGTAATC